GCAAATATATTTTTGGGCCCCTCCCAATCCCACTTGTTATGCATATATATATATATATATATATATATATATATATATATATATATATATATATATATATATATATATATATATATATATATATATATATATATATATATATATATATATATATATATATATATGTATATGTATATGTATATGTATATGTATATGTATATGTATATGTATATGTAAATAAATTCAAATAAAAAGATTTAAAAAAAAAAATTTTAATTTTATTACACAGAAGAGTCTATAGAAGATCTATAAATGATAGAAATGTTGTTAAATAGAACACTTTTGTAAAAGCAAGGTTGCCTTGCGTGCCTTTTTCTTCGCAAAATTACATATTACTGTATTAAAGTCTATATGTTTTGAAATGTCAGACTCAATGCTTAGCCAATTCAGGTCGATATAGTGACCCTATCTGATGGTAGGCCTGAGAAACTTTTTAATAAGTTTAAGCTTGCTGAAGATCCTTTCTGCAGATGCTACTATTGCTGGTACTGTAAAAAATATTCTCAAACTGACACTGACGTTTGGAAATATACTTTCTAGTTTGCACTCTGTCAAAGCATTTAATATTTCCAGTGCACCCAAATCTTTTGTCCCGAAATTGACTTTGTGAATCATTGTTATGTGTTTCCTTTCTTGCACAAAGTCTTCACTAACAATATCTTTAAATTATTTTTTTGCAAAGTTAGCTGCCTCATGTATTAATTTTTTGTTTGACATTTTTTGGTAGTTCCAAATGAAGCTGAAGGTTTCAGAAATCTGTTTTGTTGCGCTAAAACAAACTGTAAGTCCTCCTATAACATTATCTAGTACTACATTAAAAATTTTCAGGAATTGGGATTCCAAGGGAGTTTGCCTACCTCACTCTTTTTACTTGCATTTTTATTGTGAGATTATTTTCTGCTATCGTTCCTAAACAATTTTATTTCTATATCAAGGCTAGATGCAATAAGCTTTGCTTCATTCTACATTGCTTTCCAACTGTCACGAATAGCTACTAATTGTGAAAGTAAGATTTTTATATTGAAAATGTGTAAAGTTGCGTTACTGGCTTGAATAACTTTGTTGCAAATGATAGAAAATAATATTCTGTGCCACACAACTGACATTAAATACAGGTAAAGGTTCTGATCCAATAATTTGCTCCATGAATCTTATTTCTAGTTTTTAAAATAATATTTAGCTGGAGCAAGTCTTCCAAAGCCAGCTTTACTCCTGGAAGGTGAGCTACAAATGGTTTGTTGTTTACCGTCAAATGGACATATTTGGCACATAGTTATAACTTTGATTCCTACAATCAGCGAGTATAATAGCATTACTCTCTAACTTTTTTGTAATAATTCAATCATTTTCACTACCATTTTTGTCTCTACAATCTACAAACTTCAAAAATCACAATTTCATATTGCGATTCATGGCAAACTAGGTAACGTTAAACAAATGTTATTTGTTCAACATGAGATGAATCTGTTTCAGAATCTATAATTATTACGCAGTACTTTGCAGAATATCTTCCAAAACATGCTGCTTAACAAGATCAGAAAATTCTGCAATAAACTCATTTTGGGAATCATTTGAGAAGTAATATACTTTATTTTACGAACGTGTTCCTTTAGAATAGGGTCTCAATTAGAAAGCAACTTTATCAGACCTAAAACGTTTTCATTTTTTGAGTCACCAATGCGTTGCGAAGAACCCAGAAAAGCAAGGATAACATTAATAATTCTTCTCAAGAATTATTGATGTTATTTCTCCTAAGAAAAGGATAACATCAATAATTCTTCTCAAGACTTGGTACCATTTTTCCGATTCCACTTTAATTGATAATTCAATAAAATTATCAATACTGTCTTGCATTGAAAGGCGTCGTTCTAATTCACCCCACGCTAGATGGATTCTTTATAGATAAAAAGAAATAAAGATTTATGCTTGCTCCATAAAGCCAGTCTCAGGTACGCTGATCTGCATTAATGTTTCTAAACTTAAAATACATTCTGGAAATTTTTGATTATTATCATGTTTTGGTAATTTTAAAAGAAATTTAATATGACCTCTGGTAACAAAATTATTTCTTTCTGATTGAAATGGAAATTCTGCTGTGATGAATTTAATGTCAAGTTTTGTACTTGATTGGTGAAGTGAATCCAAGTTCTAAATCAATATCTATGTCAATCATATTTGTAAAAGACTCTAAGTTTTTTTTTTCTTTTTTTTTTACTAGTTGCTATCTTATTTTTGCGATGGCTGATTTATTCATGAATGTCTTTTTCATTTTTCTCTTTTTAAAATTTATATCAGGATTTATTTCTAGTTCATATTCAGTATTTGTTTCTAATTCAACTCGTTATTTTTATATCTAATTGAATTTTATCGTTATATCTAATTGAAAGAGTATTTGTATTCTTTTATTGAGTTTCTTTTTTTTTCTTGTCTTTTTTGTGCTCCTGATTTATGCATTTGGATATTTCTTGTACGCAGAAGATTCTGCGTACAAGAAATATTTTTAAGATTAAACAATATTTAAAAGATTATAAATAACAAGTTTATAAATTAAAAAAAAAATTATAAAAAATAATTTTTCTATAATAAAGTAAAAAAAAAAAGTTCTATTTTTTTAATTTGCATCAAACACCACAGGATTAAAAATATGGAAATCAACTAAGTAAGAAATTGTTGAAAAAAAACATTTCAAAAAAAAAAAATGAAAATGAAATAATTTAATTTTGCGTATTAAATTGATCATTGTTAATAACATTATTTAAAATATAAGATGTTAAAGAAATATATAAACTAAGAAAAACAAGTAAACATTATTATTAATTATTATTTATATTTATTTCAGGTAGTCGGTTAAATGCAAACTGCGAACCGCGAACTGCAAGCTAGTAAAATGCGAACTTTTTTGCGAACTAGTGCTATTGGTTGTTAACGATGTAACATTTTTCATTTTCTGTTTGCTGTTAAATTGTTTATACATTTTATGGACTTCAATACATTTTATGGACTTCAAGCAGAAATATAAATTATATTTAATTTAAAAGAAATACTATCTAGTTTAAATAAAATAAATCACATTATATTTAATTTAAATTGAAAAATTGATGAGCAAACGTTTTTAAAATATAATAACTGTGGTGGTCATTAAAATATAGTGTTTTGGTTCGCAAAAAAGTTCGCATTTTTACTTATTTCATTCATTTTACATTCCCATATTTTATAAAGCTCTCTTTTAAATTTAACGTTGCTTTAGCAAGTTAGCATAGCATAGGCAAAAACTAACCAATGACAAGTTTTATAATTGCGGTATAATGTCTTTTTTTCTATAAGTAACTTATCACTGCTTTGCTTTTATAAAACCGAAATATTCTGCTAAATTCTGATCAGAAGTAAAAAATTTACGTCAAAAGATGGTTTGAACTAATCAGAGTTCAAACCGTCAAATCCCTTTACGTAAACCACATAGAACAAAAAACTTTGTTAATATTAAAAATATATATTAAAATAAAATAAAAAATTATTTTAAAATTAAAAAAAAACTATTTTACTCTATCCTCAGATGACACGATTCCACGCTTTACTCATTTTTGTCCAAAAATACATACGTATGTATGTATGTTTATATATACAAATGTACATACATAAAAATACATATAAGTCATTTTTGTCCAAAAATGACTTACGGTGTTTCTAAAATGAACAGTTTATTATCATCGCGATGATAATAAACTGTTCACCTGGGATCGATGCATCGATTATCAGGTGAAGCATATTTTTTAATTAACCTCCAAGCATAACATCAAGGATTAATAGTGTAAATATAAAGTAATTAACATCCAGGCCCTAAAAATATTAAGATTTTTTACGGAAATCATTTATGTTTTGAGATAACTGTAAAGTATGCCTCAAATTTAGAAATGTATGATTTAAGTTTATGTTTTTTAGACAAAGGATTAGTTTTCCTCATTTTATTCTTTTTTTTTTCCCTTCTAGTTCTCCATAAACTACCTTAAAATAAACAGAAACTTAGGATGCATTTCTTTCATTAGCTTTAAACTAAGTCTAGAAATCACAAAATCCCATTAATGGCTTTCCAAATGGCTTTCTAAGTTTTCTCTTAACTCCTAAATTAAATAGTAGTTGCCAGCAGTCTTGGGAATAACTATAATGAGTTAATCCCAAGTCAATGTATTCTAGCCAAATCGGCATTTAATCATAAAAATGCTTTACACTGCGAATAAAAAATTTTAACTAACAAGAGAAGTGAGTTTTTTTATTAAGGAGTTTTTGTAAAACTATTATTTCAAATAAAATTATTTTTTTAAAGAATGTTTTTTTTGAAGTCTAAGAAAAATTAGCAAGAGTTGATCAGAAAATGAAATTTCCTATGTGACAACAATTAATGTTTCATTTTTTTTGCAATCATCTACACTTCGAATGGGTTCAATTTTGAAGATAACTAACTTAAAGATAGATTGATAATTTATTTAAAACTTTTTCGATCAAAATTTTCAATATAAATTTGCTATATACAAAACTTAATATTTGCATAATGTTGAAGTTCCCTAAAACATTAAATATAATATAAATGCATATATCATGATGAAATACTAAACGTTTTTAGTTTAATTTAAAAACGAATTAAATGAAATATAAATTAAATATAAAACTCAATTCAAAAAAACTGATTATTAGACTTTTCAAACTGAAGATTTTATTTTTGCGAGTTTTCAACTTTATAAGCCTTATTTGATTCTTTTGAAGATCTATAAACTTTCTCTTCTTCAGAACTAGTAGAAAATACAAAAAAAGTATATATTCGAAGAGGTAACTCAACTCTATTAGATAATTTCCGTTCCTCTTGTTGCAAATTCGGACTCGCACAAATAATTTTTTGATTTCTTTCATTTAAACAATTTTCTTTATCCATTTTTTTTCTGGACAGCAGACTTTTTTTGAAATATACTTCAACAAAACCAATCAGCTGTGACATCCACATTAGAATGGAAAAATTTGTAATATAGTAACATACTTACTAATCCTAGAATAAACGCACCCCAAACGATGCTTAAACTTCCATACTCCAAAATACCAAAAGTTGTTTTACGTGAAGGATACCACGCTGCAATCATTAGTGAATTTTCAACAAAAAAAATTATATAATATAATGCAGCACGTTGTCTTGTCATTCCTTTTTTCGCGTTTATAAAACAAAAAACATAAACAAAAGCCAAAACGCTTATAAAAGTGTACTCATAAAAAATTCGTTTTATGTTGTTTGAACTTTTACAAAACTTGATGTTTTGAAAGTGAAGCCATATGAACATGCAAAGCCAAAGCACAAACATTACCACAAACAATGCCCATGTGTACTCAGATGCAAATAAAACCATTGCAACTATTCTGGAAGCAATTATACTAAGTCTATAAATTACTTGAAATCCAGACAGTGAAGGTCCATTCTCATGTCCACACAAACGCAAAGCTTGGGTATAAGAAACAATTGACCATGCCAATGATATTAAAGATGCTGCTGCAGCAAGGACAGTAATCAAATCCTTATTTAAATCTATAGCTCTATTTAATTGTGATAAAACATATAACTGCAACACCACTTGAGGTGCAGACTCAAGAAATGCTTCTACAAGCCGCAACATTGTTGCATCTCGCCAGTTAGTTAAATATAGTTTGAAATCATTATCATTTAAATCTTTATTTAACAAAGCCTTTCTACCATATCAAAATGCAAGAAGGGACCTACAATAAAGTTAAAAACTAAATATTAATACATCAATTTATAACAAAATTTTAGAAGGTCATCTGGTTTTAAAATTCAGTTTGTTAATGAAATAAACAAACATCATTGAAAATATTTTATTTAAACAAAAGTACAGTTAACTTGTTCAAAATTGTTTCTATTATCAACGATTATAAACCATATAACATTATAAAGCATTTTGGAACAAGTACCGGCGAATATATGTTAAAATTTGGAATACGAAGTTTACTGAAAGGAACAGTTGACTTCTGCTTTCGAATTTGAAAAAGAAATTCGGATTTCAGTTAAATTCAAAACTTATTAATTTTTTTCAATTTAAAAAGAAGAATTATAAAATATATTACATGTTTTATGGATATATCCATGATATAACTCATAATATAACTTGTTTCTCCGCGTAGCGGCCTTGTTCGTCAAGATTCGTGTATCGGAGTTATAGAGAAGAGAGACATTTGTAAGAAACTATAAGATAAACTATAATTAGAAAAAAAGCAGAGTCTGCTTGACTAAAGTGGTTTACTCAACCTTGGGAACATAAATTCAGTAAAAAAAAAAAAAAAATGAAAACTCATTAAAAACAGTTTTGTCTTACAGAGTCAATAACCAAAAAGTCTTCTTTAAGCACTAAGTTTATTCATTACTTATTAAATCTTATTTATGCATTAAAAAAATCCTTAAGGTAAAAAGCAGGTGAACATTTAAGTGACAAAACCTAACGGTCACTGCGCAGAAGAGCGCTATTCTTAAGACATATGAAACAAAAAAAAAAATTATTTTTAATTTATAAAAGTTTTTATAAGTCTCTTTCAGTTTTTAAAATCCAAATTCTGCTTATAAGTCCAAAACTGTCTTTCAGTTATGTTCGGGGTACACATATGGCCTTAAATTCGGTGTACGCATATTATTTAAATTCGTCTTTTAGTTAAATTTGGGTCTTGAAAAGTCAACTTTGCCAGTACTTAGTGCGGAAAAAAGTAAAAAGACTTTTATAAGAATTTGTGTTATGCAAAATATATGACAAGTTGAATAAAAAGCAATTATATGGTTATTTGAAGCAAACAGCATCAAATTTAATAAACTTAACGACTAATGCTGATGGCATTGTATTCATTTCTGGAACAGACATTAGCAATATTTATTTAGTGCCACATTATGAGACTCGCACGTTAGCAAATGCAAGGATTCCCTCACTGTATATTAGGAGTAATAGTAAACTTCTACTAAGCCTATAAACTTAGTAGACATTTAGTAGTCTATAGACAATAATAAAGCTCGAGAGGTTGATGGAGTTCATCCTTGGGTACTTAAAGCATCTCAAATATAGTTTAACAAGCAAATGTCTATGGTATTTTCAAGCTCTATCAAAGAAGAAGTTGTCTTTGACATGTGGAGGTTAGGCAATGTTACACCATTACATAAGAGTGGCAATCTCAGCAACCCAATAAACAATCAGTGTCCTTGACTTCAATTACATGTAATGTTTTTGAGTGAATTGTCAAAACCAGCTTAATAAATCATCTTTACTTGAACAAACTCATAGCCAAAGTACAACATGAATTTGTTTGCGCTAAAGGTTACGTTACCAATTTACTAGAAAAAATAGTTGAAGTCACAACAATACTTTTTCAGGGTACTTGTGTACTTGTATACAAGTATACTTGGCCCCTTGTTGTTCATCATCAATATAAACAATCTTTCAGAAGTCTTAATTTGCCATTCTTGTAAGCCTTATGCTGACGATAGTAAATTGATAGCCAAGATACCGAATGAAGTACACTCGCAGAAAATACAGAGAAATAATTGCAATCGGCAACTGGACAGAATGTTCATAAACGTAAAGCAATGCATTTTGGCTATGGTAACTCTAAATTTTGTTACAATGTACCCTACCAAACAACTAAGAATAATTAACAGGCTTCATGGGAGTTTTGGAAATTAATTTTCGCTGAGTAATTTTTTAACTTTTTTTCTATTTTTAAGTAATTTTTCCCTGAGTTCGGGTGGTGAAAAATATGTGATTTTTCCTGGTAATGTTGAAAGATATAATACCTTTGCAACTAAATCCATGTTCTTTAAATATTTTGTATTAGAACTTTTTAAGAAATTATATACCTCTCTTTAATTAATTGATATCAATCCAATAAAGTTTTTGTAATGAAAAATTATTTAAAAAAGAAACAAAGCTATACAAACCAAATATAATAAATGCATTTTAAAAGTAACAGTTTTTATCTATTTTAAATAAAGTAATGCGTTTTGTTGATAAAACATAAACTTTATATTAGAACCATTTTGATATTGTGTGGCTGAAGATTATTTGATTGATCTGATTTTTCATTTGAATTTTATTCCAGTACAGTACTGCTAAACCTCTCTCAACTAAACTCAGTGTCAAAAATATTTTAAAACTAAATGCTTGATTTTTATTAAAGTTGCATTTTTTATAATAGAAGTTGTCTAAGTTGTCTATCATATTTTCGATTTATCAAAGATTTCTTTTGATCTTTTAATTGATTTATAACTTAATTGTAAAATTATGGTAAAACATTATTCCAGCTGGGTCAATAAAGATTTGTACTTTTTTAGAGCATCTTCAGGAGCTAATGCTACGAATAATGTGGGTTAAAAAATCTGAGAATTGTGTACAATGATAGAGCCAAACAAAGTTTGCTCCATGAAACTTTTAATTAATTGTACATACATGTTATAATATATTTTTAAAATCTTTGCGGAATCTTTTAATTCCACAAATCGGTAATATGTCTTTCTCTTGTAAAGAAGCCATTTTTGTGCAAACCAGCTCCAAATCCTAGTTTGATTTATTTCCCTAAAGTAGATTTATTTTATAAAAGTCAACGTTTTTTAGATAGAGTGGTATAGAATAATTATCAATAACTTCTTTTTTCAAAGAAGTTATTGATAATTATTGATAAAAAACTCAGTATTGTCCATAAAAGTCTTTTGGAGTCACTATACGTGAATAGAATAATTGGCTAGTCAGCTTGGTATGCCAGCAAATATGGTTCTAATAAGCTAGCAACAAATTTGAAAATTTAAAGTTTAAAAAAAATAAGTTTGTATTTTTTAAAATTTGGCATTTAAAAAGTTTTCAATTTGGGTTGCATGGATGGTGGTTACTTTTCCAATAACTCAATCAACTTACATAGATTAAGTCAGATTTTAATTCCACAATCTGTAACAGTTTTGCAGATGAAAAAAAATACCCTCTTTTCTCTTTGCACAAAAGAAAAGAGGGTATTTTGACGCCTAGCAAAGCTATAATGAAGAAATCGCTTTCTTTTTTTATATAAATATCTTCCATGTGGTTGATGTGCGGTTATAAAAGTACCCTGAATTATATGCAAACAACAACTTCCAATATTCATAAGCCGTGGTATCTTGTTGTACTTTCTGTACTTAGATTATCTAGAAATTTCCAAATAGTAAAGGTTCCATAGAAACTTGAAACGTTTTACTTGAATTAAATCTTGATAAGTTTTTGTTAAAATGAGTAAGAGAGTCAGAAACTGCAGAATAATTAAGAAAGATTAATGTCCAATATCTCATTTTAACTTTGTCTTTGACATCCAAAAGACATTTTAAAGTTATGTCAATCAAACTCTCATTAAATTATACAATGCAACAACTCAGACTTTGTGATTTCTTTTTTTTAAAGCGTTTTGAAGTATGGTCCAAGTTTATGGTTAGCAATGTAAGATAATTTTGAAGTGTTCATGGTAACATCTTCTGCTCTCAAGAAACAAGGGTTGTTCCAATTTCTACAATAAATTATTAGAGTAGCATTTTATTGTAGATTTTAGTATCTATATGATCTTAGCGTTAGTTGAAAACGATGAATTAATTGATGAAACAATAGTTGTTTGTTTTTTGGTGGATATTGCCGATTTTTTTCTTCACTTCTCTTTTCGATTAACAAAAAACAGCTAACAGGTTTTGTAGCAAATTCTCAACTTACAAAGAAACACCTAACAAGTTTCGTAGCAAATTTGCGATTAACAAAGAAACAGTTTATAGGCTTTGAAGCAAATTGATGCTTCCGACCTAAAAAAAGATAATTAGAAGATTAAACATTTAGGCTTCAACAATGTCTCACATTTTAAAGTTTTCTTTTTTTACAGTCAGATTAGCTTGCACAATTTGAGATAGTAATGTGAAAACAATAAAAGCAAACAAAAGGTTGGATAAAATCTGTTAAAAAACTAAAATTATAATGGAAAATCAAGAATCTATCAAATTATATTTCTTTTTAATTTTGACTCTCACATTAAAAAAGTTAATGTAAATACATGCTGCATGACTTTTAACAGTCTGAATATCCAGATTTGACAATTTAAATGATTTTTTTACATCTTTTGGAATGAGCTTTAGTATTTGCATGTGCGTCAGGAACTAAACAATCTTTATAAATATGGTGTATGGTGTTGTAACAAACCTTTGTGAAAATAGGTCTTTTCTAAAGTCATGTCTTATATTATTGTATTTAATTAATATTTATCAAATATATAGTTACTATATATTATAAAAATTATAAAACCACTGTAGAGAGCAAAATGCTCAGTAAGATCCCCCTGATTTTAAAGACTTGCACAAATAAATCCCTGACTTTTCCAGGTATTCCCTTATTTTCTACATTTCTAAAACCTTTTCTTGGTTTTCCAGGTTTTCCCTGTGAGCTATAAATTCTATGGTTTTAGTGTAATATTTACTTTTAATATCAATTGGCACACATCTTGAGTATGCTGTGCCAGCATGTAATGTTTCTCGAAAAAAGATATCAAATACATTGTACCTGTCTAACATTAAACTATGATAATCTTGCACTCACTTTAGCAACTTGGTTATGAAAAAAGATTATGAATTTGTAAGCTAACCACTATGAAAGACAAATGAGCACATGAAAGCAGCATAAAACAATATAAAATTGTAGATAATTTGGATTATGGTAACTAATTTGCTCAGTCAGAAGTTTTTGTTTCACAATGAGGACTTTGTAAATGCTTACATCATGAAGTTATCAAAAACTGTGTTCAAAGAAACAACTTTGAAACAACAGAGTCGTCAATCAATAAAATAATTTAGTTCAACAGTACTTCAAAAAACTATTAGTAAAATCAAGATCAACTTTAACAAAGAGAATAATAAACATTATTAATGCAAATAACAATAGCCAACATTATAAGTTTTAAATGCTAATAGCTGAACATGTTCCACAAGATTTTTCCCCAGGCAGTGTAAATAAATATAATATTTTATAAAGCATTTGCTTTTTTTCACAAAAAAATTACCTTTCAATTGGTGCCAATTGCAATAAATGTACCATAATTAAAATACATCCTTGATTGTCATTATCTTCCTGATGCCATTGAGTAGAAAATAACTGCATTAGTACAGATGGAACAATAATAAAAGTTAAACTTAACCCAAACCATATCCATTTCTTAGTTTCAAAATATTGGTTAGCAGCTAAAACATCTGTAATAATATCAATCAAGAATATAATAATAGATACAACAGCAAAAACATTATCAACAGTATTAGCTTTTTTTGTAGAGGCATTAGAAACAATAGGTTCATTTCGATTGGTTTGACCATCTATTGTATCAAGCGAATTTACATCTGTTCCTATTTACCCTGAGTTAAAATTATTTTTTATACTTTAGCATACTAAAAATATGTGTATATAAAATTAATAACAAACAAAATATTAAAAATATTATATAAATACACACACACACACTCATATATATATATATATATATATATATATATATATATATATATATATATATATATATATATATATATATATATATATATATATATATATATATATATATATATATATATATATATATCTATATATATATATATATATATATATATATGTATATATATATGTATATATATATATATATATATATATAAACCATAAAAATATTTTTTTTCAAAATTTAATTTTACAGTTTGTTAAATTATTTTGAATCAGCTTTTTTTTTATTTTTTTCTCCTTTTTTTTATTTTCCTATTAGATATGTTACAAATTGTTTAGAGTGTTCTTTGTGTAACATTTCTTTTTTTAAATGTTTTTATAAACCTTAATATGTTTTTAAAAAGTTAAATATGTTTCTTAATCAGTGCCGTGGTAAATGGGCATTCTTAAAATATGTGTATATAAAATTAATAACAAACAAAATATTAAAAATATTATATAAATACACACACACACACACTCATATATATATATATATATATATATATATATATATATATATATATATATATATATATATATATATATATATATATATATATATATATATATATATATATATATATATATATATATATATATATATATATATATATATATATATATATATATATATGTATATATATATGTATATATATATATATATATATATATATATATATATATAAACCATAAAAATATTTTTTTTCAAAATTTAATTTTACAGTTCGTTAAATTATTTTGAATCAGCTTTTTTTTATTTTTTTCTCCTTTTTTTTATTTTCCTATTAGATATGTTACAACTTGTTTAGAGTGTTCTTTGTGTAACATTTCTTTTTTTAAATGTTTTTATAAACCTTAACATGTTTTTAAAAAGTTAAATATGTTTCTTAATCAGTGCCGTGGTAAATGGGTCAGTTTAAATTCTTTAATGCAGTAACGAAATCAAAGCTTTTCAGCCAGTTAGAACACAAATTCATTGGACACTGTCCGGTGGCAGGAAGTTTGCGTTTACGAGCTTCGTATATCAAATGTTTAACTGGAAGTATTTCTTCGAGTAATTTTATTTTCAAAAAATTTAAAGAGAAACTATCAGAGTTGTTTAACCATGTGGAAAAAGAGGACTTGGTTGGTAGCTGAGATCATCTAGACCTTATTTTAAAAATACGAAAAATTAATTTCCATCATATTTGACTTTTTTTTTTTGTGTGGGTAATGACTGAAAAAGCTTAAAAACATATATATTTCAAAAATATATATGTAAACTTATATTCACGGAAAATTTCATGAAATTCAGAAAAAATAAAAGTTAAAAAAATATACGTAATTCCGGTTATATGTGGGAAGTGGAAAAATGGAAAAGCTGGGCTTGGTAAAAAGTGGTGCATCATTTATAGGGCTCGGTGTAGTTCTGCTAATTGAAAAAGTAGTTGTTGAAATACAGCAGGGCTACCGCCGCAAAATAATGCACATTATGTAAATAAAGTTTAACTGGATTCAATACTTCAAAGGCTAAACTTAGCTAGTTAGAGAGATTTAAAGGAATTAACAGTATGCAGTGATTATAAAAGTACCGTGTTATGGTTAAAAGCAGTTTTGAAGCAAGAATAAGACACGAAAACTTTGGGAATTTCTCAACTATTAGTAAAAAGACGGTTGAAAACTATTAATAAAATAGCATAATATATCCAAATCAAATTCAATTGATTCCATTTGAAAATAATTTTGCCGATAAACTTTCACGAATCCCCAAAAGTGGTGCAGAACAGTATATGCAACTGGAGTACTTAAACAGAAAGACATTTCATTCAACTAGTTGCTTCGGTGTTGCTTGGATATTGCAACATCATTTACAAAATATCCAGAATGTATCACGTAAAGAGGTTTTAGCAGCAATATTGAACTGTAGTCAGCGTAACTACATGTCAGCGTAAAGCATGGTCAACATAGCGTAGAGCAGAATTTTATTCGGACATCAACGTTTTGCATGTAGCAACGTTTTGCATAAACTGTAACAATAATTAACTGTGATCCGTCACGGTATACAGTATGGATGTATACAAACTGGTAACTGAAATAGCTACAAAGAGATTGAAGAAATATTTTGTTTATTTTACGGTTTGTTTGTCTGCTAATTAACAATGAACTTCTGTCCAACATATTAAAAATTTTTGCTGAAAAATAGCACATTAATTAGGGATATCAAGCAGTCCATAGAGCTCAAGGAAATGGTATAATTAAACGCATAAACAGAACAATTAAAAGAGCAGTCTACCGCTCACATTAATTGATACTCTGACAGTTTTGCTGTACAATAAGACAACATCATCCCGCTGTACTAAAAGTTTATCTCAGCATTTTAAGAGAAAATCATTTTGTTTTTATTCCAGGTGTCAGTCAGTACACAGGGCAGACAAAAATGACGTAAACAAGAGGGTGACAATGTTTAGGAAAAACCAACTCAAGAAATGAAATGTGAACAACTGTAGTAACTGAAGCTTAACAACTTATTGTTTAATGTCAAAACTGCAAATTGGGAATATACAAATCTTGTGGGTATACCAGATTTGCAGATAAAAGTCTTAGAAATTGAAGTAAGCTAGGAACTGATCTTTGATCAACTTTCAGTCAACTTTTTTCTTTTTAAAACAACTTTGCAATTGAATCAGATTCTTAAAGCTGCTGTGGCGCAGTGGTTAGAGTTCTGGCACAGAATCAAGAGGTCTAAGGTTCAATGCGAGCTAAATAAGTTCTTCCGCTCATGCTAAATAAGTGGCGTTTGTGTGAAAGGTGGCATGTAATTCCAAGTTAATTACTTTTCTGCCCTGATCTTTGATAAGACTGTCTCAGGGTAAAATGACATTGAAATGGCTTTTCATTTCTTTAGGGAAATAACAAGCTCATTTCCTTAAAGAAAGCAAGTGATCAAATCTCTTAACTGTTTTAGTAAAATGATGAAAAAATATTGTTTTGATATTAAAAGTATTTATATAGTAAACCATGCATTATTAAATGATATATAGATTTTGCATATATACCTAGTACAAAAATAGTCATTGAGATAATTATTTATTCAAACTAAATAACAAAAGATATATTTTTGATACTTAAACTTATTTTTTTAAAAACAAAAAGATTATTTTTGGTAAAATTTTGTAACATTTTTATTGCATGTAATTAGTAAATAATAATGTTTATTATTTTGAGTTTCAAAGTAAGTTTAAAGTTACTTTTTTTTACAGGCACGTCATTTTGTTTTAAATGGTATTTTGGATTGTTCAAATGAGCACTTATAAAATTTTTGACCTCCAAATAAAGACCAATTTTCTGCAATCTCACGTTGATAAGGGTTATTTTATGAGACTATTTCGTTAAATGTTGTAGTAGCTGTTTGAAGAACGTTTTTAGAAATTTTTATAATTCCAACTAAGGTTCCAATTTGACATAATATCTGACACGATTGATTGGATATAATAGAGCATGTGACATTAAAGTGTTGGCTGATTAAACTTCTAAATCACTCAACAAAAACTTGTTGATTTGTAATAAACTTGAATATTTATAATCAATTAATTCAGATGTTGATAGAACTTTTGAAAAAAGAGCGTCATTTTTTGTTTAAGGAAGCTACTAGGAAGTCTTTTGGAATTTAAAAAATGTCATGGTCTTCTCAATTAAAAAGATGATCCAAGTTCTCTTCAGTAACAAGATTTTAAACAACTCTTTTGAAATATGACTGGATTGGAGTCCTGCTTTTGGTTCTGTTCCATATTAATATTTGTAATGTGATTGTTTAATGGTTTGATGAAAAGAAGAATTGTTTTGGAACAAATTAATAACCTAAGGAACAATTTTTAGTGTTATTATTAGTTAGCCAAGCACGTAAAACAGCTTCAACATCTTGATTTGGTTGCTCAAGAGGCTCTTTGACTCGCTGGATGTCTATCAATTACAATTTTCATGTTGGATATAAGTTTCTTAACTTTTGTATGACAGCTGCTGTAAGTAAATTTATTTCTGTTGTCAAAAAAATTCATGCATGTCAAAAAAAAGCTGAGTTTTGTCTCGTGGTCCTGGTAGTTTAGGAGCCATTTAAAATTGCTAGATGCATTTTGGAAAACCGCTAGATAAAATTGGGCAAATAATGATTCTTTTTCGAGGATGTTTTTTTTACACTGACATACCGTGCAAGCACAACTGATTTTGGTATTAGCTGTTTGGATAACAAACTATAAATTACTTTAACCGTTTCTCCAATTTTAGTACTTTATTTCATAACAATACGGTGTATGTGTCTGTTGCATTTTAAGTAGTGGTGCTAATTTAAATGGCTCAATAGCTGAAATACTTTCTTCTATCCTTTCATTAATCCATAAGGGCTTTTTGTTATTATTCTACTAATTCAAAAACGCTCTTATAGCTTCTGAATGAAGCTATAAGAGCGTTTTTTTTCTATTCTTATAGTTTGAAGCTATAAAAATAGAAAAAAAACGCTCTTATAGCTTCGCTCTTCTTTAGATACAAACTCGTTCGGAGCTTGATTTTTGTCTATATCTGAACACATTTTTTTACGATACACAAAACAATAATGACTTTGGCCTGTTATTAGCCTTCCAATCGGCGAGAAAAGAGGGCGGCTAAATTCAGCACTTTTTCAGATTATTTTTAATTTTCGATATCCAGTATTATCACATTAATCATTTTATTACTTGCTTAAACAAAATGGCAAAAATATTTTACTCCAATTCAAGTAAAGGAACTGCTAGATATTCACAAAGAAACCATCCTCAAAATATTCAACAAATGATTTCAAAAGTTCGAACATGACTTTTTATCATAAAAAACGTAAACAAACAGTTTAAAAAAAGAATTAGATCAAACCATTTCTACAATTGAATTCTTAAACAAAAAATACGAAGCATTAAAAGAAGCATTAAATAATCGTAAAATGAAAACATCTTCTCAAAACAAATTAAACAGAAAGCAATAAATCTTAAAAACTAGTACCTTAAAGACAAGATGGCAGAGGTCGAGGATAGGAATCGCGTAACAACCTTAAGTTTGAAGGAATCGAGGAAACGAAAGGGGAAACATGGAAAAGCAGCGAGGAGAAAATAAAAAAGTTATTTAAAGAAAAACTAAATATAAACATAGAAATACATATCGAACGCGCGCGCCGAACAGGGAAGAAAGAAGACAACGACGGTATAAAAAGAAGAACAATAGTAGTAAAATTTCTTAATTATAAAGATCGTGAAACTGTATTACAAAACTACAAAAAGTTGAAGTTATGTAATCAAAAAATGTATATTAATGAAGACTTCAGGGAGCGAACAACAAACATTCGCAAGCAGTTATTTATTAAAGCTCAAGAAATCCGTTGTTCGGGTAACTTTGCGAAAGCGGTTTATAATAAATTAATCACAAAGTCTTTTTAAAAGACTATCAGATTTTCAATTAGTTAAAAAATATGTTAAAATTAATATTTTTAATATGAAATCTCTCACAAACAAAAAATATTTATAACTAAAGTTATATATTTTGAAAGCAATTTAATTTTTTTAATTAATTATAATAAAAATACATAAAGTTACTTAAACATAATTAAATTTTTATTCAAAAAGCACCCAAAAACGTACCAATTGGTTAAATAAACTTTAAGAAGTACTTCTTTTATTTTTAATTAAAAGAATGCCTGCCTAAGCCAAAACCCTCGTCGTTGTATTTATACTACACTGTGCCTATCCCTAGATAAGCAATCAAAATGTATATACACTACAGCATAGCCAAACGTAAGTACTGCGTTAGTACTCCACTGCGTTAGTTTAATTTTAAAGTTGAAAACCAATAATAATAAATCTAATTTTTTTAAATTCCCTTTAAATTTGATGATCTTTATCTTTTTTTACTTAAACGTGCGAATAGACTATAATTAAATATAATCTATTCGCATGTGAAAAAAGTGCGAATACTTTTTAAAAACCTCCGCATATATTCAAAATTACAAAAACATTTAAAATGGATTCATCTTGTGGGAATGCTTTAGAAAGAGTATCGAATTTATTTCAAACTAATACTTTTAATTTAGAAATTGAATCTGATCCAGATATTAATTATTTTAATGAGATTAATGGACCTGAACTTAAATGCTCTTATTTATATCCAGATAAAATTAAAAGCATTCTTAAAAATGATGATAATCGTGAATATTTTAAAGTAATCCATGTTAATATGATAAGTTTAAAAAAAAAGTTTGATGACTTTTTCAATATGATTTGCGAAATATAAAACGTTGAAACTTGGTGTGCAGAAGAAGATTTTAAATCGAGATTAGAGTTTTATTTAAAAATATTTAAATTTTAAATAAAACTCTAATCTCCATCTTCAAGGTGTTAATACAGTGTTTTTTTAGAGCGTAATGTTAATAAGCCTGGAGGAGGAGCACTTTTTACATAAAAGAAAACATTGCGTTTAATTTTAGACGAGAGATCAGTATTTCTGATTAAAATATCGAGATTTTAACGGTTGAAATGATTAACAATTTAAAAATATTTTAATAAGCTGCTGCTATCGAAATATTTTACTAGCTGCTGCTATACCCATATTGATAAACATATTAGAATAACAAATCATTAGTCCTCTTTAATTGACTACATTCTAACAAATGGCATTTTTAATACAACGCTTAAAAAAGTCATTGTAAAAACTGATGTTTCTGATCATTTTCCTATTTTTTTCTGCAAAAGTGCAAACCGTAAAACATGTATGCATGGAAAGGTAACAAATAAAAACGCGTTTATAACAACATTAATTTAAGTTTATTTAAAGAGCAACTTTTGAATCAAGACTGGAGATATATAAATTTCAATGACGATATAAACCTCATCTATAACTCTTTTTTTTTTTAACTTTTTTTTTAAATTTACAACGCACAACTTTCTATTGCGTGAAATAATTCTTAACACCAAAGAGCTATCTTGTCCTTGAATAACTAAAGGAATTAAAAAGTCCTAAAAAATAAAACAAAAACATTATGCTAAATATCTAAAAACTAAATCAGAAAAGCATAAAAATACTTACACAGTGTATAAAAATTTATTTGAAAAACTTTACAATAAAGCCAAAAAATTTTACTACTTGAAGTTGCTTCTGAAGCACAAATATAATTCAAAGCAAGTTTGGCAAATAATGAAGACAATTACTGGTAAACATAAGGCATGCACAAATTCTATGCCGGCTGAAATTAAACAAAAATTAAAAATAAAATAGTTAACGATTCGAATGAAATTGCCGTCGAATTTAACAAGTTTTTTTCAACAATAGAACAAAGTCTATCAAATAAAATTACTTATGTAGATAATAACTCTGTTGGTGAATTTATTTCATGAACAAATTCAACTCTAAACTTTTCAAATCTAACATATAGTGAATTTGAAATAGTATATAAAGCAACTAAAAGAAATAAAGCAACTGATGATATTAATGGGAACATTATAATCGACTCTTTTGATGTGAATAAAAATATCTTCTTTAAAATTTTTAAAGCATCCATTACTTAAGGATCTTTCCCAGATAGTTTGAAAATATCAAAATTTACTCCAATCTTTAAAACAGGTGACCCTACAAACATAACAAATTATCGTCCTATCTCAGTTCTACCAGTTTTTTCAAAAAAATTAGAAAAAAAATGTTTAACATATTGTACACTTATCTTATTGACAAATAACCTTCTTTATAAAAATCAGTTTGGCTTTCAGAGAAACAGTTTTACTGAACACGCTATTCTCCAAGTAATGCGCAGTATTGCCGACTCTTTTAAGAATTCTCGATTTACACTAGGCATATTTATTGATTTTTCAAAAGCTTGATATGGTGATTAACTCTGTTAATCACCATATCAAGCTTTTTATCTCTTTTAAACCAGTTCAGGGTTTTATCTCTTAAACCAGTTCAGGGTTTTGTCTCCAACTTTTAAACCAGTTCAGGGTTTTATCTCTTATATTATAGCTTTCCAGCTTTTTCATAAAATGTTATTTTATTGAAAAAGCTGGAAAGCTATAATATAAGAGATAAAACCCTGAACTGGTTTAAAAGTTATCTAAGTAACCGTAAACAGTTTGTTTATAACAAGGAATCTTTGTCGCAATTATTAACGAATATAACTTGTGGTGTTCCCCAAGGATCCATACTTGGGCCACTCTTATTTGTAATATATATAAAAGATCTTTACAAAGCTTCTAATTTAACGACTATAATTTTTACTGTCGATACGAGTTTATTTCAGTCACACGAAGACATTAAAATACTTTTTAATAATATGACTGACGAACTTAAAGATTTTCATACTGGTTCAAAAAAAATAGATTGTCTTTAAATACCGATAAATCAAAATGGATACTTTTTTATCCAACTTCTAAAAAAAAGAAAGTTCAAAATATCTTGCCTGACTTATCTAATGACAGTACAGCATTAAAGGGAGAAAAAAATAAAAAATTTCCTGAGAGTCGTACTAGATGAAAACTTGTCTTGGAGGCAACAAATTTATAATATTACGGAAATAATATTTCCATTAAAATTGCTAAAAGCATTGGAATTCTATATAAAGTTAGACATATATTAAATAAACATCAATTAACACAGCTATATTATTAATTTATTTATTGCCACTTAAGTTATGCAAATATAATATGAGGAAGCGCTCACAAAACTAAATTTAAATCTCTCTATCGACATCAGAAACACGCAGCTCGCACAATTAATTTTGCAAATCGTTTTTCAAACTCAACACCACTTCTTACAGAATTGAAAGTTTGAATATTTACGAACTAAATGTTTTGAATACGTTATGTTTAAATATAAAGAAATTATATCTCCTTGTTTATTTATATTTATTTATTTTTTTATTTTATTTTTTTTTTTTTAGTTTATTTATTTGAAAAGTTATAAATATTTTAGTAACACCCCTTACGTTGAAATTTATAAAAAAAAAAAAAAAACAAGAAGCCGTAAAGCTCACTCTGAAACAGCCGTGTATTGATGCTTCTTGCCCTGGTTAACCATTTTAATCCCTGATTAAAAAGGTATTTAAGGATAAGTAACGTTATTTTGATAGCGCTAAAGCACAGAATATCTAAAATAGCCACAACAAAAACAAAATAAGTAAGGATTCGATTTTTGAAAATTTTCGAATCGTATCTCTAATCATATTTTTGATTCGATTCGAAATTTCGAAGCTTCGCAGGGCCCGAAAATAAACCTCAGCAAAAAATATGTTTTTGATGCACACTCCCAACTTAAGTTGGTATATTATTTAGTACACTAAATGGAAATGTTATGTAAAAAGTTGTGTTCTTTTAAGCCTGGAAACAAAACCATCCAAAAAATCTTAAATTAAACTTAAATTCCTCGAAAGGTTTAAAGTTTTATCTAATATTCATTAAGAGCTTAAAATTTATGACCCTGCAAAATTTATCACCCCCATTTCTTAGGGAGGAAAGAAATTTTAAATGGTCATTATTTGCAAACATTAAAAGATTGCAAGATGAAATTAAAAACCAGTTTATAAACTGGTTAATCTTAATTAAGATTAAAAAAAAAAAAAAAAAAAAACCTTACCAACTTAATGCTCTGTTGTTTCCAGACAAAAATCACCATAATATTTTACATAACATTCTCATTTGAGAATATACTTCACATTTGGATTGAGTACTGTTTTCCAAAAAAAAGTTATTTTAATTTTAATAGTAACATTAATAAAAATAAATAAATAGTAGCATAAATAAAAAGGAATAAACAAATACATAGTATAAAAAATTTCAGGGATACCAGCAGGATTTTAGATGATTTAGATATAACACTTTTTAGCATATTGTAAACTCTAAACTTAAGTTTTTTTATGATGAATTTGAAATGAGAATTAAAACGCCCTCATTTTGGGGAAGGTAAAAAACTTTACACGGACAAAACGTGACAAGGTCTTTTATTGACTCATTATCTTCACATGGCGATAAAATTGTCAAACATTTTAAAGTTGGCATTCTTATTTGACATAAGTATTAACATATTTAATTTTAGAGTTTGCTCAATGCCTGAAAGTGTAATATCAATGAAATATCAGAAATATAAATGTATGTTAATATAAATATAAGTGTATATAAGTATAAATATAATGAAGGAAAAATGTACAAGTATAAGAATCTTAAGTGAAATATCAAAAACATCTTAAAAATCCAGTCGGCGAATATGAAACATTTCCTTTATTATGAGATATTTTTTATATATAATTATATATACTCTTATACTGTTCAATATAATTACAAACAACAAATAATAACTTCAAAGCCTAACCGAACGCTAGTTGAATAATATTAACTATTAGACGCTTTTGCATACATTTAAATAAAATCACTACTTTGAAATTATATAAAATGCACAAAGTTAAAAGTTATTTAAAACTTTTAACTATTAGTGCAATATCACAAAAGAGATTAATGCGTTAAAATTCCTAAAACTCTTTTGTGACGTTGTACTGTTACAGTACTATACATTAGGGGTATGAATATAATTTTTTTTAAAGAATTTTTAATTTCCCATGTCCCCATGAGTGGAGAAGTTATGTTTTTATAAACAGAAAATATCCGTTTTTAATGTTAATTTTTAAACAAGATTACCCCCAAAGCTGAAAATAATTTTACCTATCTTTTTAGTGTTGGAATACAAAAATGGTATTGCTTCAGACATAGTTAAGAAAGTTTGGCAATCAAATTTTATGAGGTTTGAAAAAGCTAAGACTTTAAGAAAATTTACAACTGTTGTTAAAAGTATTAGTAAAATAAATAAAATGCCGACAGAACTTGCCGAAGAAACAGAAAATGCCAAAGAATCGGAATCTGCTCAAGCAGCATGCAACTTCATCTGTGGTTTATGAAGTGATATATGCTTTGGTGATCACTAATTCAATCCTGCGAATTCCGTTCGTCTGTTAGAAGCATTCAAAGACACCGATTCTACACCGATTCCAACACAACGGTCAAATATATGTGCAGAACGTGCGGTAAAAGTGAAGCAAGATTTAGTGTCTTCATGTCATAGCATAGAAAAATTTAACATTAAATGCTTATTGTCAAATAAACTGTAAAATTATTTTAATTATTCATGATTTATTGGTTTTCCGTAAAGTACTCGACATGTATTGCAAAACTACAATTCTTATATTCCATAAATCTTCTATTTAAATGGGGGTGAACTTTTTTGAGATAGAGCATAATTGTTTTATATTTTCTTGATTTTTGCATAAAAACTCCATTAAATTGAGTATGGGAACACAAAGTTGTCATACCCTTACTGTACATAGAATAGTAGATTGAAATTATTTAATTCTACTCTACTCTTATATTTTACTTAGAATTAAATATTTAATTCTACTCTGTTATTTTATGTATATTACTGTAACAGTAATATTACTGTAATATTTTTGTTAAAAGTAAATTTTGAACTTACTAAACTGTTAGGAAATTTACCGACAAACGCTTGCACTAATAGAGCAAGAGCCCGTGGCCGCCAGACCTATGTTATTTTATAACAAGCTGAAAATTTCTCAGCGTGTGTTTCCAACACAAGTAGGAAGGATGGTTATTTGTATTTTAGATCATGATGGCTTTGGCTGGTAAAGGGTTGTCCATAAAGTACGTACGCTCGGAGGGGCAGAGAGGGTCTGCAAATGGCGTATATGAGATGAGAGTGCAGTGGGTCAATTATAAAAGAAAGGAGACACTAAATTAAAAAAATGTCATAGAATTTTTAATAAATAGGTTATAAGCGTAGGTACTTTTAGGGAGATGGAGGGTACTCAAAAAAGCGTATTGCAAAATGCGGGGGTGGGGGGTGGGGGCTGATGTTGACACAAAAAAAAGCGTACGTACTTTATGGACGACCCCTAACATATACCGAAGGTGTTTAAAATACCGGCTAAACTACGTCAAATTATAAAGTGTAATTTTCTTACAATTTTCTTGTTAGTAGTATTAGAAATCATGCCATCCATTCCCAGACACTTATCATCAAGGCAACCCCTTGCCAGACACCGCTAAACTTCGAAAAATTGTTACTGTAATTACGTTATAGTATAAAGGTTGAAAAAAATCCAGATTACTTGGTTAACTATTATAAGATGTTTAGTTATTAGCCAGATACTTTTTACAGCTCTAACTCCTAGCCAGACAGGCATATGTTAGCAATATTATTAGTTTCATATCTAAAAACGTTCTAGCGAAAACCTTAGTTACATACAGCTAATAAATAGCACTTAATTATTAGCTGTATGTAACTAAGGTTTTCGCTTTTATCTTAGATTGTAACTTAACAGTTAGAATCTAAGATAAAAACTGTAATTAAAAATGAAGTTAAAAAATGTTTTTAATAGCTATTTTATTTTTTATTTTTATTTTGAACAAAATAGGTATTAAAACCATTTTTTTAACTTCATTTTTTATTACAATTTTTATCTTTCTAACTGTTACTAAATGTCATTAGAAATTTAGAAACCAGTATTTATTGACGCAATCGAACAGTAATTACTTTCAATTAAGTTACGCAACTATAATTTTTGTAGAACGTTTTTAGATATAAAACTAGCAATATTGCTAACATATATGCTTGTCTGGCTATGGGTTGTTACCATGATAACTGTCTAGGAATGAATGGCATGATTTCTAATTCTACTACGAAGAAAATTGTAAAAAAACTACGCTTTAAAATTTGACGTAGTTTAGCCCGTACTTTAAACACCTTTGGTACCTGTTACCATTTAAAGCCACCATTATCTAAAGTAAACTCTCGCTTCTACTTGTGTTAGGAGAATGGTTGAGAAATTTTCAGCCTTTATAAAATAACGTAGGTCTGGCGAAGCATTATGGCGGCCACAGGCTCTTAGACTATAAGTGTCGTTAAGCGAAAAAATAGCACAAAAATTTCTTAATAAAAATAAGCATAAATTGCTAAATAAAGCATTATAGCATATAAATTGTTTATAATTAGCATATAAACAACTAGCATATAAATTGCTTTCAGAAAATGAATTAAAAACGATATTTTAAAGTATACAAATCATCTTGTTAATGATTTCTTTTGTTATTTTTATTTTAATTGCAACTTTGAAAGTTTTTTTGTTCTCAATACTATTTAATTTATACTTCGCTCTTTTTTTTAACTATTTTAACCTTTGTTTTTAACACCTTAATCAAAAAACGCTATTGTAAAAACATGAATGCAACACAGCAGTTCTTGATGATAAGGACTTTTGGTCTTCAGCAAGCTTCCGACGGTTTTTTTTAAACTATAGCATTGTTATTTTATGAAAATTTGTAATATTTAACTTTTACACGTCAAATTTCTTTTTTCTCACATATATTTAGAATTTGTTTAATTAGCGTATCAAGAACACCAGCATGCCAAACTTTATCGAACACTTTAAATATACCATGAGCAATAGCTCATGCCTCGCTGCCTCTATCAAATGCAAAATAGAATTTTTTAGTCCTAACAGTTAACAATTCAGCCGTAAAACGAGAAGATCAAAAACAACAATAATTGTCAGAGAATAATTTATTAAACAAAAGATGTTAGAAATATTTTCATCTAAAACTCCTAGACCGTCCTAACGATAAAGAGAAGACAGATTGAAATTTGCAACTACTGAAATTCTTTTGAGTTTATACCTTTTAAAAAAGTGTGTGATTCCTGAAAATATTGTTTTATTTTGAAATATTTAGTTTAAATATATTCTTTAAGTTGTTAAACGTTATTTTATGTTTTGAAATATCTGGTTATATTTAAATTTTATTTCTAAACGTCATTTATTGTAATTATTTAACTAGTAATATTTTTACTGCATTGTTAAACGGTTCTCAGTGACAAGATCTTACGATCCTCTTTGAGTCTCCGTCTTCTGATATTTGATGTACAACGATATTTATACCATAGTATATTGTAATAAGAACAAACAAAAACAAAAAAAAAAGAAGCTATTTTACAGCAAACAGGAAAGTAAGAATTCAAGCACTTATTAAATAGTTAATAAATGGTTTAGAGTGAATTGAAGAGATTTTTAGAAAATGCTTTTGCAAGACGTAAACGTTGTCTGTAATAAATATTTGGAAAAAGTTGAGTTTTTAAGACTTAAAAACTATAGTTTTTAGAGGAGAGACAAACTATTTGATATTGCTATACCAATATATTTGATATTGCTATACCAATATATTTGATATTGCTATACCAATATTGCTATACCATATATTTGATATTGCTATACCAATATTGCTATACCATATATTTGATATTGCTATACCAAGTTTGAACAGAAAGTATTTCGCTTTTGTTCTGACAATGCCAAAGTAAAGAGTTATCAGTTCTATCTAGATAAGAAAAGAGAGAAACATGTATATTGCAGATGAGCTAATCATTTCAGAAATTGGTGGAGAATAAGCATAATTGGTTGAGAAGAAGGTGAAATAAGAATAAATGCAATAAAGAGCAATAAACTTGAGGTTTTTTTCTATTTACTAAGACCTGAATCTGGATCTGAAGTTTAGATTTTTCAGGTGATGAAGGTTTGTCTAAAATTCAATTAAGATTCTTTTAAGTCTAAGATAATGATAAACATAGTTGCTAAAAGCATAAGTGCTGGTTGTACTGCTTTGGTTTCTGCTTGATACGGTA